TTTTTTTATATATATATATATATATATATATATATACGAATAAAACAAATTAATTAATAATTCACAAAATTCAATAACCTAAATAATTAAGTATCTTATGCTTTATAAGTAAAACTATATTTCATTTTAAACTTTAGCCAGCATAAATAAAACAAAATAGTCCTAATTCCTAAAACCAGTTATCACCTAATACTGGAAAAACAATAACAAAAAAACCCATTTTTTAAAACTAAATATTATATTTATAAGTCAAATTGTTATAAGTATTTAGATATTGATGATTAATGACTAGTAGTAGTAGTAGTCAAAGAATAATATATTGTTTTAATTTAAAAATGTGCAATGTAAGTACCTATGTTTTAGATTCAAAGCATATAGTAAATGGTGGCCCAGTATATGGAGAAGTATCACTCCAGTAATCAATAGGATGTGATGTAATTGTTAATTTTGTATCTTTGGATATATTTACTTCTTTAAAGTACCTACAAATTCTTTTTCCAACTTTTGGAATATCAGTTTTATAGGGTGGAGCTAATATGTCAACAAATGCTGCTGGACCGTCTATAGTATCCACTTGATGAATATTTCCTTCTATTGGACACAAAACACATGGATCATCTGTTTCTCCAACAATTATTGGTGCCAATTTTATTGCACTAATGTTATTGTCACTGAAAACATAAAAATTATAATGTATTTATTGTTTTTTTTTTCAATTAGTCAAATCATCACATTTACTTTAGTTTACTATAATCATTTTGTTTAGGTGTATAGCTTTGTAATTTGACTTTACCATAAATGACTTTTAATACACCATACATGTATGGATGATCATGTAAAGGTATTTTAGCACCGTTCCTAAGCACAAACACACCAATTGATACATGTTGATCTTCAAACACTCCAATATAAGTAACCGGTGCTTGATGATGTATAAATGTAGATCCGGATAACTTATCGAGACTGTTATTCAATTCATATGCATCCCATCGTAATAACCTAAAATCTAAACCTACAGAATAGGCATCCAATTCATTGGCATTTCGTTTCAGTTTAATCAAATTATCATGAAAAGCTTTTGATGTATAAGAACCAGAAAAAGTGGTAAGAGCTTGTTTAAGAACACATTCAATTTTCGAACTCATAATAAATGCGCACAATTAACTAAAATACTATTTAGTTATACAAAACATAAATGATTGAAACAAATTTACTCAAAAACATAAGAATAATATAATGGTGTTTTTATTTTTCAATACAAAAAACAATATGAACTTCAGTTTCAGTATATTAATTATCTAATAACTCTAGATATTATAAGAATATTATAATTTAACAATAAACATTTCAAATTTATGTTATCTCATTCTTAAAACATCTTATCAACATGTAATCCTTGTAATCTTTAATAATAAATAAAATAATGTCAATTTAATATTTTTTATTAATGTTAAAATACCAATTACTGATAATTGTAATAATAGAAATAAATATAGATATTAGGCAAAATTATGATCACAAGAACATTTTATTTTGACTAGTTTATCGCGATTTACGACAAGTACATTATAATATTAGAACATTTAGAAGCACGAGCATGCACGTGATTATAAATTAATTATTCATTATTACCTCCTTGAATATAAATTTTAACTAACCAAGGTTAAGGTATGGATATTATGATTATATCATGGCTTAGATCATAGATATTAGATAATAGAAATGGTCTTCTAATATCATGTATAATATCTTTCTGTTATCTAAGATATCTTCTTTACATCGTGGTTATAGATATAAATGGTTGTGAGATGAGGAAAAATATTTGTCATTTGACCGCATAGACCTTTTACTAATAGACGAGCCTTTGTACACGTAGAACGATCATAGATAGAGGGCGCTCTCCACTTGTGACTTGTGACCACTAAACTCTATACATTGGAAAATGTAGGAAAAATGGGTAAATTCAAAATAAGGTTGGTTAGGTTAGGTTTAAATCTTTTTCACATGAAAACGCTGATTGTTTAATTTTGTTAGGTAAAATTTTCAAAATATTTGAGCCACTTTAAAGCTATTTATAGACATTTTAACTTTGCGAGTTTTTTACTTGGTAAGTTCTCGATGAATAAAATCGTTTAGAGTATTATAATATAACGACCTTTCAAAATATTATAATCCAACCACGTTCCGTATCGTTTTTCATAAGTAATAGCTTATCAATTATCATTGCTTACTGACATAAATTAATTTCACCTCTATATCCTAATTCCTAACTTCTCACCTTCATCAGTGAACCACCAGTTGTGCGAAGTTTGTCCGTTTTTTACAGGACGTCCTGATTACTCAGTATGATTATTTATTAACGATCACGGACTAAGATATTCCATTGTATACAATATGAGTATATGCATGGCTAAATAAAATGTAATAAGATATACATTCTATGTTATGAATTTTTAAAAATAATGTACATATTACATATTGTACGTACATATTATTTCTTTCTTATTTACAATTTAATAAAATAAATATATTCCATGTAAGTACCATGTATATATTTATATATATTGAATTTTGGCTCATTTATGTTACATGTTTGTTAAATTTCTAGATTTCTATTTTGTTTTTGACTGTTTATGTTTTTAATACTAGTATTTAAATTCTGTTTGACTATTTATTTTATTTAATATACTGGTTTATGAATTTGGGAAAATAAAATAAACTCTGAATATTTATTTAGTTAATATATATTATGAAGTTATAATAAACAATAGTTATAAATCTGGTTACTTCATCACTATGCAAGTATGTAAATGAATATTATAATTTTTAATAATGTAAGTAGGTAATCCATTTGTATAATATGTAAGTAGATTTGAGAAAACACTAACATAAAATAAAATTGTGATTATCATTCTTTGTTTGCTTGTATTTGATTAAATTTATATAAGTATCTATTGTATATTTAAAAAAAATTAACTACATAAATTGTGTTTTGTTCTTTTGATATATTAATTTTAAAGCAAGTTATGATTATGATAAATATTACAATTTTTAAAATCATCTTATCTCATTTGAAAATTAAAATAAAAAAAAAAAAAATCAATGCACAATTATAGACAATGATTTAACCTTTAAATTTAATAATAGACCAATAAATTCTTAACATTACAATTAACACAAAATCAGTTAATGCATAAACTTAACAACATTGTCTGTAACATATGATATATATATATTTACCATTTAGCCATGATATTTACTATAGATATTCCAATTCTAGACCCTAATTATATACCAAATAAAGGATATTATTAATGGGAATAATATTAATGATTATTAATAATTTTATGCTCATATTGCTGAGAGGATTATTTACTATTAAAACAAAGTTACCCAACTTAAAGGTAAACAAATTATCTGTGCCCTAGTGTTAATATTTTTGATACTTAAATTCGTATCTAAGAAATTATTAGATATATTAAAAATCACTTTTCAAAAATTAAAACATCAAAATAAGAGTATAGATAATCTTACCTTTAAGTTTGATAGTTTAACCTATTGATCAATTAAATTAAAACTAACAAAAACAAATTGTTTTGTTGTATGTTTGTAAGATGAAGAAAGTATGGTGTCTTCTAAGACATTTGGAATTGCAGGAAAATGCTCAGTAAGTAGTAATCATAAATTGTCTTTGGTAATAACCAGTTATTAAAAGCCATGATTCGTTCATCAGTATGTAATTTTTTGTTGATTTACCTTGGTAATCAAATTTAAAATTCAGTATTATCTATCATATATGATGACCATAAAACTATAAAACTAAATTTATAATACACATGTATATTTATAAATTATATATATGCACAGGGTAATTTTGCTGGATCTATTTTTTTTAAATATTTTTATGGTTGAATTATTTATGTATTTAAATACTGATTTATGGAATTTTAAGTGTAATTGAAGACTATATTTCCAAATATTAAATTTTTGACAAATATAAGAAATCTTTTGGTAATAACAACTTAGATTTTTCAAATTAGAATCTAATAAAAATTATGAATTAGATAATATTTTTGAAAATGTTAATAAATTGTAATTGAAATTTTAAAAAAATATTCTGAGTCATTCCACTCTTAATAACAAGAATAAAAAAAATATTTACATTTGCTTTGAAAATAATATAATGCAATAATAATTAAAAAGTATTTTGTAATTTTAAAAATTATCTGAGTATACTTGACTAATTAGTAATTATTAACAAATAATTTGTATTGCATACCTAAATATAATTACCAAACATACCTATTTACAATGTATTTTTAGACAATTATCATTAGTATTTAAAGTAGAATAACCAGGAACTTTTCAGTCAAGTTTCGATTAAAATGTCTGAATTTTCAGAAAAATCATCCGATTGACAATTTGCATTAAAATATGTAGATTACCATTCGAAAAACTAGAAATGGCATCGCCACAAATTACTCCATAAATGTTGTGGAAAATCTAAGTATTTGAAAATATTATCTTAAATTATACTTAAAAATTTCAAAAATTAGAATTTGAATATAGACATAATTTAACCGTAAAAATGGGGTGAGCATACTTAAAAAAAATCACGGATATATTTAGGATTAATAGCTAAAGATTTTAAAACTGATAACTATTAAGTAAATTTTTATTAATCAGTTTCTGAAAAACAAAAACTAAATGTTTGTAAAATTATTTATTCAATACATTTTATTATTATTATTATTATTATATCTAACAGATTAAAAAATACATTTTTATGGACGGATTTAATTACATATAAAGTTTTAATGCATTTGGTAAAATATGATTAATATTTAAGATCTCAAAAATTAAATACATTCAACAATTATTTTAATAACAATTGTGTCATTTTCAATAAATCCTTTATCAAGCACTTCATCAATAGCAACAAATTCAGTATAACCAAAAGCTCTTGGATTTAAATGAGGAGTGTCATTGCCATTATTTCCAAAAGAACATCTCCTAAATGCTACAGATTCATCAGATGATTGCATTTTTAAACAAATAGTTTGTTCTTGATTTTTTGGATGGATTAAAGACAAAGTAATACGACCAGAAAATGGCCAAACTAAAGTATCATCATAATCACCACGCATCATATGAATGAATAGAGAGAGATTACGATTATCTGATGACATATTTATCCGACCACAGACTCTAAAATAAAAAATATGTGATAATTAATAATTCTGAATTAAAGATGTGGTATATATGGAAAAAGGCATGCCGTGTTATGTGCAAATGTGGTGTTTGAAAAATAATATTTTTTAGAAAAGTAATTTATCTACAGTGCCATGTGATAGAATGTTTATTTCTTCGGAAAGCCATAAGTTTGAAAATAAAAAATATTTAAACTTTTAAAAATATTAGAAATGTATACATTTATTTCATTTTAAACTGTTTTAGATTCTGAGTGGAGGAAAGTATTGGTTTTACAATGTTTTTTTTTCAGATTGGGGTTTCCCCTTAGGGGGGTTATTTTTTGATTTTCCCAACTGTTTTCGTAATAAAAATGTTTTCAATTATTTGTTTTATTTTAATTCAGTTAAAAATATTTGTAGAGATTTAAAGTTTGGACAAAAAAACTTATATTTGTTTTTTTATAAACGTGATAAAATCTTCAAAACATTGTAGCCATTTTTGAGCTATTTATAAATATTTTAATTTAACAGGTTTTTTTAAACTTAATTTTTATTCGGTAGGTACTCTCTGGATATAATTTTTAGACCAAACAGAAATGCTAGAAAATTTAACAGGAGGTTCATTCTAAGTCATAATTTATGGTAAAAAAAAAATATAGTATTTAATCGGAACATTGGGTGCCAATGATCTGTTGTCTATCCTTGGAAAGAAAAAAATTGAAAACGCCATAGAGATAACAAAATATTAAAACTATTATATTTAAAACTATTTATAAAGTAGAAGACTTGATACAAAGAAGACATACAGTTCTTAAACATAAACATTTAAATTAAAACACATAAATGTTTACGTTTAAATTTGCGAAGGGAGGATATATTTAGTTAGGGAGTAATTTAATTTATATGTGCAATAAATCATTGTTAATGTAAAAATAATTCTGAGATAAGTTTTTCTTATGTTTTTTTCCAAGTGTTCTCATTTATTGGGAAAATCAAACATGATCTCCATTAAATACTATCTCAAGAAAATTCCCTTTCAGAAAAGGTGCTATACTTCAGAGTAAGATTTCTGTTACAATTTTTGTACACAGTATAACAAAATAAAAATAAAATAAACATATTTTTGTTAACCCAATACATTCTTCGCTACTCTCAGAATCTAAATATTATATTGCACTTAACTTGTTATTTTTTATCGACCAAAAAGTAAAATTTTGAGCACTTATGCCAGGCCAGAATAATTTTATCCATATAAAATTAAAAATATAAAATAACTGTAAGTAGCTCAAAAATCATCAGATTGTTTTGATAATTTTACCATGTCTAGAAAGAATTAAAATAATATTTTGTGAAAATGTCAGGTCTCTTTGATTATTTTTAACTAATTTACAACCACTAACAAAATAGAAAATAATGGAAACTGGTATTGTATAAATTTTAATGTTTTCCTAATGTATTATGAAAACTACAAGGAAAATGATCTACTCAGTGTATTAAGAAAATTTGATTTTCAAAAAGACGCTACATTTGATGATCTGGTTAAATTAGATAGAAACATTGTATACATACTGAAAAATAAATAAATTTATAAATACACATTCGACAAATTTATTTATATTCTGTTTAGACCTTGAGTTATTCAAACTCTACTGACTTTTCTAAGAATAACCCTTCTAACACATGATTGAATTGTTCAAAGATAAAATTTGTTAGTTGTACTATAGTTATTTACTCTATTAATTACTTGTATCCAGTTGAAGATGTATAAAATCCTTCAGAGTATCGTTGAGTTTGTGATGGCTTTTCTCTCATTAATTTTAATGTCTCCATAAATTTGGTAAATCTCCAAACATAGACGCCATTGCACGTAACCAAGAATATTTCATTTTGATTCCGTGAAAATTCTAGGGTTAAATTGTTGACCATTTGATTGAGCCGTTCAATATCTTTATCTTTCTCAATGTTGCTTTGTTCTAATACGACTATTCTTTCATACAAATTGCTATAATTAAATTAAGAATTTATTTAATTATAATATAATACAAAATATTAATACAGGGTATTGTTGATTATTGTCTTGTTTTATTAACCTTAAGAGGACGTGATACTTGCATGTAAAATGCAGTGTTGGTGTTTTATTTTATTTCTTGGTATTTTAATATTTAAGTATCATTAAATTGTAATATTATATTCTATATTTAAATATTAAAATAATAAGACAAACATTGCAAAGATAATGTTCATATCTTTACATTAAAATAGACAATCACTATAATATAAAAACTAACAGAATAATGTTGTCTCTGCTGAACACAAATTTGATACATCATAGGTTTTAAGACAGAATACATATGCAGATAAAATATTCTTTTAACATATGACAGTTAACAAAGCTCTTTTCAGAATATCTACTTAAATGTGATATTTTATATTTCCCAGCTATCAAAGCCATAGTATATTATGGGCAAAAACACAATTGGGGTGGGGGGACATTTTCATGCCTCACAGAACAATTAGATTCTGATTTTTCTTTTTTTTTGAAAGAGAAAAACTTTTGTAGGTTACATTGAACTCAGATTTTAAAGTTCATATTTAAAGAAACTGTATTGAGTGTGTGAAAAATTTGGAGTTTAATGTAACTTCTAAAGTTTTGTTCTTTAAAATGAAAATTTATTGAAATTGTTTAGTTATACAAGAAGAAAACATTTCAAAAGAAAAACTATACAGACTATAAAACCAAAACTAATAAACAATCCTATTTTATGCTAAGACACGTTACTTCACTTTAACAACATTCTTTGTTTTTATATATATAAATAAACATTATATTTTGTACAAAAAGACTAACCATAGTAATGCCTTTTCTGAGTTGGGATCTTTGTTAGCATCCCAACATTGTGTAGCTTCTACGGCTTTAGAATGGGCACTATCTTTACTTTGTAAATTGTTTAAAAGATCAATATGAGATTTTGAAAGTAACTGGAAATATAAATACAGTTTAAAATATTTTATCGAAGAATAAATATTAAATATATTTACTTACAGTAACATGTCTATGTATATTCATAACAAGATGGTTCATTAGTTCACTTTTAGTTTTTACTATATCTTTACATCCAATTAAATGAAATGGACAGACATTTTCAGCATGCAAATTTATCTATAATAACAATTATTTTAATAGAGTTTAAGCGTTGTTTATACAGTATGTATGTATGTATGTATGTTAGTATGGTTTAATGAAATTCATCTTTTCTATTATTTTATTTTTATATTTTATACTTATAGATTTACCTGATGTTTTGGCTATAAAATATATAAAGGTATAATTACTTTTAAAATAATACCACAAAAATAAGAAATCAAATATTTTTATATTGTTGTATAAAAATAATACATCGTTTTCTTCTCTTTCTCCTTCATCTCAACTATTTAGAGTTGGTTGGCCATCCACGTCCAAAACTTCCTCTTATTTGGTCACCATATTATCTTCCCATTCACTCACCATCCACATATCACAGTCAATCATATCCAACCACCTCGTTCTTGGTCTGTTTATTATCATTATAATACTTACTGCTCCAAATTCCTCTATCCTCTATGCCATTCTCAAACAATCTTGAGTCTATTTTCTCTCATTTTGACTACTACCACATCTAGCTATCACTAATGTACTCATTCCTTATCTTATCTTCTCTCATCACTCCACTTATATACCTAAGCAGCGTGGAGGACAATTGTTTAAAAATAATAAGGATAAATAACAACTGACCGAAAGCATAATCTATACCTATATATTTTAAATTTGTAATATTTGAACATTAAATACTATAGCTCCTTATATCTTTGGCTCTAGATGAAGCAAATGGAGGAAAATAATCTCAAATAAACCATGATTTGTTATTCAAAACCATATCAGGTAGTATTTTATTTTGTGTACAATATATTAATATTTGACCAGACCAGGTTTTTCAAACAAGTGCCATTCACCGACCTAAGCATTCTTATCTCTGCTACACTTATTTTCTGTTCTTTCAACCACTCAACACTCCAAACCATACACAATATAGTCAATCTCGCCACACTTCTGTAGAACATTGTCTTATGGGAAATCTCTTGTTCTTTTGTACAACAGGTACTTAACATGTTTAACTTCTTGATGCTTCTCTCCAATTTATCCAACCATACTTAATCCTTTGTTTCTTTTCCTCATCATAGCCACCATTATTTTGTACACAAGATCCTAAACATTTAAAACTCAACCTCGCCTATTGCATAACTGCTTATTGTTATAGTCTGCTTGTCCTGTTCCTCTAACCTCATACTCTGTATACTCTGTTTTACTTCTACTTATCCTTAGTATCTTCCCTTCAAGTGATACTCCCCAATCTTCAAGCTTAATTTTAACTTCCAACAAATTGTCTCCAATCAAAACTATATCATCTGCAAATATGCATCATGGTACCTCGTCCGACATTTTTCTTTCTACTCACACCTCACTGGAAAAAATTTTTTTTTACTAGCCCATGTCTAGTCTTAATATTATTCACTTTGACACTATCAGGACTTACCACAGTCCTCTAACTAAACCTACTAGACCTCTCTTAAATACTGTTTAATCAGTAATTTCTCAAAATACTCCTTCCATCTCTTTTTATATTTTCACTTTAAATAAACATCATCCTTTATAAAAATTCCTGACCCGTTTTTTTAATCTTAGTTAGTCGTAAGCATAAAACTAAATCACAAAGTATTATAAAATTAAACTTCAAATAATATGAAGACTACAATAAACATATTTTAACAATAATTTATAGAAGTTGCTTACTTGGTTTTTATTGAATTCACATGAAGCATAATGTTGATCAGCTTCTAATAATGGTATAACTGCTACACAGCCTTTGTTTAAACAAGTTACCTTTTGCTCATCTATTTCCCGTTTTGTGTAATTATCAGGAAATAAATTTTCAGTGGACAAAGGTAAAGAATCAATAGGACAACTTTGACTTTGACGCCTAACATAGTAAGAAAGTATTAAATAAACATATAAATATCACCTATATTATTTAAATTTGCATAAGTAATAAATTAAATGATAAATTGTTATTTTTGTTTACTTAAGCCATGCATGTATACATTCGGAACAAAATCGATGTCCACATCTTGTCAACATGGGGTCTTTCAGACAATTAAGACAAATGGAACATTCAAAGCGAGGATCTATTACTGACAGCATTTTTAAACTGAAACAATATTAGTAAACACATGGTTTTTTTTCTTTTATTTACAACTAGTAGTAGTTATATAAAATAAAAATACATCTTGAGATTTAGGAATTTTGAAATCCAAATGTTAATGAACAATACATTACTTTTAAATATAATTTTAATATTTTATCAATTATAATTATTAAAGACTTAAAGTATAAAACAATAAAAATATTATACAGCTCATTTATACATTCTCATCTAGAATACACCAATATTATTTAGATTACTGTATTCTATATTATCAGTGTTCAAATTGGGAAAATTAAAGTAGAGGAACTCTGCTAAACTAAAAAAAATAGCTTCATTTATATTTACATATATATACATATTTACTATACACTATAGATATATAGAACAGTAACTATTATATCAATAGATATCTTTTATATATCTATAATAATACCTAACCACTATAAACTATTGAACTATAAGATAACTAGAACGCTCATCGCCCATATGACTAATGTAAATAAAACCGAGAGGGCGTGTTAGAAAGAGATAGTGAACACTTTAGGTATTTCTATCTCTGACCTATGTCTTTATACATATTACACCATATCGTATTCATTTTTTAATGCTTACCGACAGTCAATTTCAGTTCTTTTAAAATTTAAATTAATTTCTTTCACTAATTAATTCTTTTGGTACAGTCAAACAATGGTTAATTTTTGCAGTGTCTTTAATTTCACTAGTGTAAGTTATGTAAAAAAGAAATTAATACTTCATAAGTTAGTATCAAATTTTTTATTTCGTAGTTGTGTTAATTGTACTATTTATTTACGTTCTAGGTAGGTACTTATAAAAATAATTTTACTTTGTATTTTTCAGGAAATGATAATGAAAGACTAAAAAAATGGATACATGCTGTTAGACAAACAAATTTCAAACCAAGTAGTAATTCCTTTTTATACAGTTTACATTTTACTAAAAATAAATATGATAAAACAGTTGTAACTGAGAAATTAGTTTTAAAAAATGTGATGTGTCAACTATTTTCACATTTCCAGATCATCCAATGTCTAAAGTGAAAGAAAGGTGAATTCTGCAACAATCTATTGAAATTCAAGTAAGAATTGTATTTAATTTATCTAATATGCTAATGATTTTTAATATAATAATAATTTATTATTCAATAATAAAAAATAATAAATAAATAATAATAATTAGTAAATAATATAAATAATATAAAACAAATTGCATTAATATTATAAAATCTCTTTAAACATTAATTTTTTTTTTTTCATAAATATCATATATTACATTTTCACTATACACCTATTTAATAATAATTTAATAAATTAGTATACAATCATTATTAAATAATGATTCTGGGGATGATTTAGACCTTTACGTAATAAACACAAAATAATATTTAAATAGGATATTCCAAATTAAAAAAAAACTGTACTATTTTATATAATTTTAATACTAAATAGAACATATTTTTTAAATTTATAAGTAATATTATTTATAATTCTTATTAGTATATTTACTAAAATATCTTTTCATAGTATATATTATACTAATAAATGTTTGTATAGGATGTATTAGAATGTGTTCAAAGTAGTAAAAATTGAATGTACATGCTACAGATGGTAAAAAACTATGTTTACTGAAGTTGGTGTCCAGACAAAACTAACTGGTCAAGAATTGGAGAAGATAATACAAGATTTATAAAATGAGTAAGATAAATATAAATAAAATAAAATAAAATAAATTAGATATTTCAGACCATTGTGTTTCTCTCTATTTCTGTATATTACATTTTTAAAATAAATAACTAAGTAAATAATTAAATATTTTTTTTTCTTACATTATGGTTTTGGGGTGTTGAAATAGGAAAGTGTTCAGATAAAGTGAGAAAATCCTGGATCCTAGATAATATTTACTTTGTTCCCAAGATAACCAAATCAACAAAAGATATACCATTAAATACCAAAATCCCTGTATCAGCAATAATTTAGTTGAATTTTGTTATACAAAATAGCCTATATGTTATTCAGATGTATAAACAATAATACTGTAGTTACAACTCAATCGGTCCAGTAGTTTTTGTGTGAAAGAGCAATAAATATCCATACATTCTCACTAATTTTCACATTTATAATATTATAGTAGAATAATATAATATATATATTTATATTATAAATAAATATTTCATAGTTCAATAATTATGATTCAAGCCTAAGTAGAAAATACAATAAGTTATTACAAAACACATAGCAATATAAAATAAATTTATATATTGGTGCGGTATGTTAAACAGAGATAGACACACCTAAAGTTTTCGCCATCTCTTTTTAACATGATCGCACTGACAACACTGTGTGGTAAACGTTCCAGTTATCTTATAGTTCAATGTTATAAACTTTATAACTGTTATAAGCTGTTATCATTATAAATTTATGCGATTAGAGGCTTACTATCACGATAACTATAAACTACTATTACTATTACAATAAAATGATTCGAATTAATGCAAAAAATTAACAAAAAATTGTATGAAACCATAAGCTTTAAATAACTTTAAAAATATGTTGTGACAATATTATTAATCAAACGTTTTCCTGTTCCAGAATGATAAAATGGTAGGAGTGCGCAAAGAAACAAAATTAACAGAAGACCATCGTCCCCCTGCGCACCCCCCAATTCGAGAACTGTAATATTAAATATATATTATACAAACCTTAATCATCAGAATACTGTTGTACTGTTATATCTTCTAATCTTGCACAAAATGTTAAGTAACTCAAATAATTGATTCACTTCTCAGTCATTGGTTATTCTCATGTGGAACGTTAACGGCTTAAAAAATCACAGAAACGAACTTATCATGACCCTAAACGAAAAAAGAATAGATTTAGCACTTATCTCGGAAACACATTTCACAACTAACACCAAATTTTCAATTCCAGGCTACAACACAATTAATTCATGCCACCCGGATAACACTGCACATGCTGGTGCCGCGATTCTCATTAAATCCTCACTACTATTTTCCTCCTGTCCATGTGTACAGGAAAACTATTTACAAGCTGCCATTTTGTCAATAAAATTAAATCACATTCCAATTACTTTTGCTGCAACATATTGTCCACCCAAACACATTTATTTAACACAAAATTACGCCATTACAGTATGAAAACTTCTTTAATGACTTAGGTCGCTAATTTATAGTCGGTGATGACCTAAATGCCAAAAACCAATCCTGGGGCTGCCACACGTCCAACCCAAAAGAACGTACTTTAATCCAAATAGTTAACCGAAAAAATTATTCCATATTAGCTCCCCCCGACCCAACTTACTGGCCAACGTCTATAAATAAACGCCCAGATATCTTAGATATATTTATCTAAAAAATCAAAAAAACCATTGGAAATCTTCTATTCTTTTACAAAGTTTTAAACGGTTTGATTAAAGCCCCTATCATTATTGAAAAGTTTAAATTTCATAAACATACAAGACCCACAGGATTTCAAAAATGTCTACCTACATGCCCCTCGTTCAAAAACTAACAGAATACAAGAATCCATTATAAACCAAATGTCTAAAGAAGTAAACAAATTACTTATAGAAAACAATGTTTTATATCTTTCATCAAACAATTTATAAATGAGAAATTCAAAAATATTTCTATAATTATATATACTCTTAATCAAACCCACAATTTTTTTATTTATTTTCATTAGTTACATTTCAAATAATTATTATTATAAATTATAATTATAGTCATATTTGTATTTTTTTTAAAATATCATATTAAGTATACCATAGTCTAATTTTATGTTATAATTAATATTATTATCTTATTTTATTTGATTTCATTTTTTCTTAAAGAATGTTTACCTGTTGATTAATAAATAAATAAAACAAAATATTTTTATTAAAAAATAACAAAAAATTAGTTATTTCAAATTATAACTATTTTATTATATGGCATAATATATTACCATGAAATCAAGTAATGATTTTTTTTTTTAATTTCACTTAACGTTTGTATTCATGTTTGCAAAGAAAATTGATTATTTACGTTATTGTATCAATATGTTTAAGTGTATTGCCTGAAATCGAAAAGGGCTTAAAAAGTGATAACAGAAATTAAAAAAATATTATTTTATTAATTCATAGTACAATACAATTTCGGTTAACAAACATTTTTATAAGACGGTCATCTCTATGTAGAGGTAATTTTTTTTCGGTTCCTTCAAGTGTTATGCCTTTATAGGACACCTCTAAAGTACAGTCATCTTTAAATAGCAGCCATTTCAGTGACCATTATATGGAAGTTATGCTGTATAATACCTATGCAGCAATTACTAGTTTACCTTTGCTTATAAATTAAATTAATAAAAAAAGAAATAATTAATATCTGGCAAGCTTAAATTCTACCACTATGCAAATAATTAATCTGATGATAATATTTAATATTCATACTATGATATATACGTACCAATCACAGATAAAATATAACAACAACAGCATTAAGTTTAGGGGATACTACAGCTTAATCCATGGTTTTCCACGTTTTTAAGTGCTATTAACATCACAATAATAATAATTACAATATATCAAAAATCCAAAAAATAATAACAATACAAAATATTCATTACAACACATTTTTTCGCGTCAAATTCTTCGAGTTACAACTGAAGACTGGATGTTGGTATTTGCACATTAACTATTAAGTGTAAATTACAATAATATTATTGTGATTACCTACTGATTACGTTTTATTGACCTCAAGGACGGGGCCGGGTAGTTGTTCAAAAATGATAAGACATTTTTACTACTAACCACCTGCATATCCACCAACGTAACAGAATAAAATATTTCAATTATTTGAAATGTTATGAGTATATTGCATTTATGTATTAAAATAATTTCTTTTACTATTAACAATACAGTTGTATGATGAATTAATTTTTGTCGAAAACGTTTTTACATAACTGTGTTTAACAGTAAATATAAGCAAAAGCTATAATACTAGAATATTTACCCAAGAAAAAGACCTTTTACAAAGAAACAAAATAAATTACTATAAATACAACTAGTTAGAATATTGGTTAAAATAATTGTAAGAATTAAATTTATAATAATTATGTAACTATAATATAAGACAAAATTCATTAATACCTAATATGTCATATAATAATAATATGTCAGAAACATGATATATTTTATAATTTATGTAAAGATTTAGTATACAGATTGATTGATGTTAAAATTATTAGAAATGTATGATAACTAATTTACCCCACCACAAACTTAGCTTCACGAGGTAAATGCATTTTAATTTATTTAATTGTTTTGTTTTAATTTATGTATTTATGTATGGATAGTACAGATTAAATAAAGTTTTAAGTTTACAAGGTTTTATTATAACTTATAAGATAATAACATTGTATAATGATGAAATCAGTACAACATTATTTAAAATATCAAATAATTTTAAATTAAAAATAAAAAAATATTATATTGGTAATGGCAAAATTTCAAAATTATTGTATTCGGTTCTTATCATTTTTCGAACTACTGGTCTCCCAAGGACTACCAATAGTTCAATCTAGAGATGGGAATTATGGTTCATCTAAGTGATCCGATTCTTTAAAATCAGCTCATCAAGAATATCCGCATCAAAGACCCGTTCGCGATCTGAAGGGTTTTTTTGAGCCAATACTGAATCAGAACCAGAAGAGAGATATGTGTTGTTCGCGAACGACCCGGATCTTTTGAACGGGTCAAAGTAGTGAACGAATATTCAATTCAATTGTCGTGGTTCCTAAACAGTTCGCGAATCGTGTGATGAGTCGGACATAGAATATTATAATTTGTATTTTGTATGATTCGGACTTCGTATAGAACATCAACATGTAATTTATATTTATTTTATTGTATATTAATAGTTAATAAATAGTTATATAAAGATTATTATTATGATAACGTTATCAAAATCTCGTGTATGAACCTATGAACAAATACGGAAAAAAATATCAGGTGATCCGAATCACCTCGGTTTGGCAATCTGAATCATATCGTTCACTACTTTGACCCGTTCAAAAGATCTGGTTCGTTCGCAAACGACACATCTCTAGTCCTATCACATAGTTCATTGCGTGGCGGTTATCTGAGGAAAGAAATAGATTGTATTCTGGATTTAGCTCCTGAATATCACTAAAAAAACTGCTTCATAAACGTAATCTGACAAGAAAAAACCATATTATAATGATTATTAATTTGTATGAGATTGTAGTATTTAATATTAGCACAGAATATTGCGGTTTAAATTCATAGATTAACACGACCAAGTGTCTTATTATTGCCCTATTATATAACTGTATAATATTATGTAGATACCCTATCTCCTGGAACCTGTTAGGGTATATCCCTTTTCTCTAGGGTATATACTTTGTGAGGTATATCGTATATACACTTACGCATGCTCGAATTGAAACAAGATTGCAACAATAAACCATTGCTTAATGAGTTAATTTATACATGTTCTGAAATACGAAAATATTTTCATTAAACTGTGATTTTAAAATGACTAAAAAAAAAAAACCATTACATTACCCTCAACCTTTTTTTTTTGCCACAAATTTTAACTTAAAATATACCTAGTGTTAAATTTTCAACCATTTTTGTTTGGTCAAACAAATCCTCATAGTATATATACCATAGAGTAAAAATCTATATAAAAACCTGCAAATATAAAATGTCTACAAATCTCAATTTTTATTATGCCTAGATAAAGTAAATGTAAATTTATTGTCAAAATTTCAAATTTGAAATTGAATTATAAAAAAACAAATTGAACTTGCCTACATATTTTTGTATTATTCAATTCTTAGCTGAAGAATTTGATTTTTTGAAAACGGGCAGAAAGAATTTCTAGAGCAAGATCTTATTTGGTTGTAGAAAATCTTTCTATAAAATCTATCATTCTTTTTTCACATCACACAATAATAGTTAATACATTTTTATGATTATTTTATTTCTCAATAATAAGGAAATGCTATGTATCCATCATAAGAAAACAAGAAAACCTGTAATTTTGAATGTACATGCTGCTGTATAAGACACATAAATAAAATTGAATTCCCAGTTCAAAAAAATGTACTTCATTATATTATTATATGTAAAACCATGCTGGTTAGAATTAGGATAAACTAATAGTTACAATTAATTTGAATTATTTGAATTTGTATAATAAGGAATTCTAATTTTCATAATAATTCTTATTTCTAATTAAAACTCTCATCATGCAATTAAAATTAAATAAATTTAAGAAAATTAAAACCTTACTTTCAGAAGATAAAATATTAAATTAGGAGTAATTTAGTAGTGCAGATTCAGTAATACTAATAGGTCCTTTTTTCTAGGTATTAAAAAATCAAAGATATTAAAGTTTAACTTTACACTTAAAAGCTTAAACTAGTAGGTATACATAATGTTCTGGGCATATATATTATAAATAATAGCAGCTAAAGTTTTATCAGATAAACAATTAGTAGTAATTGGTATCATGCCTATCTCAAGTAATTGTCTTGATAATTGAAAATTTGAAATAATTATTTATTAAATACTATTATTAACAACGTACACAATTTTTAAAGCCAATTTTAATAATTAATAGAATATCATAATTCACAACAAGAACAAAAAAAAAAGGTATAACACCTCAAAGAAATAAACATATTCACTTAAAAATTATTATATAGACGTCTATTATAATTTAAATTCTGTTTTGAGTATTACAATATTATTTTATATAAATATATATGTATCAATAATTTATATAATGAAATAAATATTAGTACTACTTTGTAAAAGGTTTTGCATGTAAGAATTGCAAAAGAAAACACAGACTTTTATTTAAAAACTATTTTCTACATTTTTTTTTATCATTCTAAAAAGAAAATATGGTAATTATTATTATTCATAATGGAATGTACAAGGTGAACCAATGAATAATGAACATAGAAGATTTTTGATAATCTACAGTTAAAATATTCACCTGCAACATAATTAAGTATAAAAAATATTAATTGTCTAATTATTTTCAGGATATCATCAAATACATCTAATAGATAGATCTACACAACAGTAAAAAGTTACATGATAAAAAACTTCAATTATAGTGAAAAAATTAAATTTAAGAAATTATAGTAATGAATAAACACAAAACCATTATTTGTTTACATTACTTCTTGGATAAACAAACATAGTGAATGGTGTTCCTCTACTAAATTAGTAGATGATAATAACGCTCTGTCATGTTAATATTTGATCAATTGATTTATTTATTTATTTATTTATTGGTCGCTAAAATATGAAATTTATAAATTAAATCAATACTAAAGAAAATATTGTCAGTAATTAATTAAAAATAATTATAAAAAATCACCGAGTAATATAGTTATACTTACATATATATTTATTTTGGACGGGAATCCCTTGGGTAAAATTCAGCTAATGTAGATGCTGGTACTCTCTTTAACATTTCTTTAGGGAAAATACGTAACAATTGCCATCCAATATCCAATGATTCAAATACTGTGCGATTTTCATAATTACCTAAAACAAACATTCCATGATGTAATTATAATATGATCATAATCAAATTATGTTTAGCTTTTTACCTTGTGTAATAAAATTTTTTTCAAATTTAGTTAAAAATTCAAGATATAGAAGATCATCTGGTGTCAGTGCTTCTTCTCCAACAACAGCTTTCATAGCTTGAACATCTTTTCCAATTGCATAACAAGCATACTAAAAAGAAAATAATAAAATACTTTTAATACTACTCAAATTATAAAAATATCTTGCTTACCAACTGATTTGATACATCAGAATGGTCTTTACGAGTCATTCCTTCTCCAATAGCAGATTTCATCAACCTACTAAGAGATGGCAATACATTTATTGGTGGATATATTTGTCGATTATGCAATTGACGATCAACGTAAATTTGACCCTCAGTAATATATCCAGTTAAATCGGGAATTGGATGAGTTATATCTAAGCATTCATATTTTAATTGTATAAAATGTATATATATATATATATATAAAATATGGTATTTGAATTATTTGCTTACCATCATTAGGCATAGTCAAAATGGGTATTTGGGTGATAGAACCATTTCTGCCTTCAACTCGACCAGCTCGCTCATAAATTGTAGCTAAATCAGTGTACATGTATCCAGGGAAACCACGACGTCCAGGAACTTCTTCACGAGCAGCAGAAACTTCTCGCAAAGCTTCAGCGTATGAACTCATATCAGTTAAAATGACCAAGACATGTTTTTCACACTGATAAGCTAAAAATTCAGCAGCAGTTAAAGCAAGTCGAGGTGTAATAATACGCTCAATAGTAGGATCATTAGCTAGATTCAAGAACAAACACACATTCTCCATTGAGCCATTTTCCTAAAAAATATATATATAAATTATAGAAGGTAAAACTTAATATGTCTAAAGTTATGAATTAAAATAACTTTACCTCAAAATCTTGTTTGAAAAATCTAGCAGTTTCCATATTAACTCCCATAGCAGCAAAAACTATAGCAAAATTATCTTCATGATCATCAAGAACAGATTTACCAGGTTGTTTTACAAGACCAGCCTGTCTACAAATTTGAGCAGCAATCTAAATTAAAATATAAGTATATTTATAAGTATAAGCATCACAAATATAAATAATTTTTTGATCTATTATGTACCTCATTATGTGGTAAACCTGCTGCAGAAAATATTGGAATCTTTTGTCCACGGGCAATAGAATTCATAATATCAATAGCCGAAATTCCAGTTTGTATCATTTCTTGTGGATATGTTCTGGAATAAGGATTTATAGGCTGGCCTTGAATATCTAAATAATCTTCTGCCAAAATTGGAGGTCCTTTATCTATTGGTTTTCCACTACCATTGAAAACACGGCCAAGCATATCTTCAGATACTGGTGTACGTAAAATATCTCCAGTAAACTCGCATAAGGTATGCTTAGCATCAATACCCGATGTACCTTCAAATACCTAAACATATTTATTATTATTTACCACAGTGCGCTAAATTAAATATATTAGAAGACTGAATATCATACTTGAACAACAGCTTTGGAACCAGAAACTTCAAGCACTTGTCCAGATCTGAGAGTACCATCATGTAGTCTCAATTGAACAATTTCAGCATATTTAGGAAATTTAACTTCATCCAATATTACCAATGGTCCATTAACACCAGAGACAGTTTTATATGCTACATAAATTTTATAATGTTAGTTAAAAAAAAATAGCAATGTAAATAACCACGCCCACTTAAAGTTTATAATTGGTATGTGTATTATCTTATTATTCTAAATAGACAAAAATATCTACAGGTAAAAAAATTAATTCTAAATAAAAGGCGTAATCTTAATTTGTAAGCCAAATTACAATGTATTATGTTAAATTGTATAGATAAATATAATAATAATAAAAATAATATAATTTTCACCTAAATCTTATTATAAAACTGAGAAATACCCTATGATTAATGATTTAATAATAGCAAAATTCATAATAAATACAACAAAAATATTACTATTAATTAATATTTTTTCAATGTAATATTATAACAAATGTACCTCATCTTAGACTATTACATTGACCATTAAATGATTTACCTAATTAAAAGTATTGTTTATATAACTATTTTTATAATACATAATTTAATTTAATTACTTTAAAATTTGTGATATTAATAAGTTTTAAGTAATTATTTAGTGTACAACAAATAAATATTTTACATAGATTTTGGGTTCAGACACGCCCTAATTTGCTTGAGCTAATATACTCACTAAGTCTTGGCTGTGAAATAAAATCCCTCGAAACTGCCAACACATGTTCTTTATGTGCTTGGTGGGCATCCATCGCACCAAATGTCATTCTACTTTTCAATTAAAGTTAATACAATTTTAGAATATTAAACAAATTAGACAAAATGAACTGGAGACAGCTTCGCTTCAGTATCGTTGAAGTCGAATGTTGTGTGACATGAGATTATTGAGATTTTCGCCCATAGTTGTCAGCTGTTTATTTAAGTAATTAGGTTTCCAAGGATTTATCAAAATCAGTGTTCACCATTTACAAAAATTGTACGTTAAAATATTTTATCTTACAATTATATTTAAATTAAAAATTCTATTAATTTAAAAAATATAAAGAAATTAAATTGTTTTTGTATAATTTAATATAGTTAATATTAAATTAATTAGTATATTTTTCACGAATTTAATTTTGACTTAATGTCTACACTGTACATTATCTAATGGTTTATAAATTGTAAATTGTTATCACAATAACAAAATTCAGATTTATTGTATTGTGATTGTATATTTACAAATCCCAATATTTTATAATCGGTAGAGTAAAACAAAATGAATTAAAATAACGAAATTTATTTTTTATAAAATTTATTTTGACTGGTTTCAATGTTTGCTCCATCACTGGATAGCGTAGAAAAAGATATGGAATACGAGGAGCAGTCCTCGACCAGTTCATTGGACATAATAATAAAATGGAATGGTAACGATTATGATATAAACAATTTAAATACAGACAGCGATGTGAAAACGTTGAAAGAAGAGATATTCAAATCTACTGGCGTGCGACCAGAAAGACAAAAACTTATCAACTTAAGAATATCAGGTTAATATATTATATATTTTTTTGAGAAACCTTATAATAGTGCTATATAAGTACAACTATTATTGCCAAGTCTATATATATATATATATATATATTTACCACAATACAATATTAATATTATATGTACCCATATAGATCATATAAAAGTTCATATTTCTGTAATTGAATTCATTTACACTTGGCTAATAAACCAATATTTATTTGCTGATTTGGATATTAATTTGGGTCAACATCCTTACCTAATTACAATAATCCGGTAGGGTTTTAATGGTTTCTTTTCTTAATTTTACTAAATCTAGATAAATAATCCTGGTGTTAACAAATCATTGAATATTTAATACTATTTCTTATTTAATATTTGTATCAATTTAAGTATTATTAGAATAATAAAATACCTACTTATCTGTTTTTTTTTGTTTTTATAGTTGTAAGTAAATTGAAGTTTTGAAATGCTAGAAAATATTTTATTATTTATTTAAGTTAACTAATCTTCAACTTTTGCCTTTTTTTTAACTGAAAGAAAAAATATACTCTCATTTTAATAGTTTAAAAGTTAACATACAATTGTATTATGAAGATTATAACTGATATAATAATTACACAATAGGTTGTAAAAGTAAATTCTTTTTTAGTTAATAACTAAAACTATTAGTTTTCTCCCTGTAGGAGAGGATCAAAATACTACCACAGTACCTCTACCTCCCTCTCATAGGAAACGACCAATAGGGTTTCGTCTAGTCGACAACCGGTGTAAAATTCTGTCGAACAGAATGAGAAATTCTAAACAAAACTTTGGGAGATTATCCCATCTTGGACAAATGTGGATTAAGTTAATAATAGGCTTGAGGAATGGAGAGCAACACCTTAAGGAAAGGGACTAAGTAAAACAATATGAGTTTGCAGGAACAGAACAAAACAACTAACCACAGTAAACAATATTAGGTGAGGTTAAAAATTTTAAGTACCTGTTAAGGATCTGTTGTACAAAAGAACGATGCTTTTCATGAGCATTTGAAACAGTTTTACGTGTGGTTTGATAAGATAGAGAGAAATGGCAAGTGGTTTTTATATTTTATAGGACAAGAGATTTCCAATGACACAAAGTTCTATAGAAGTATGATGAGACTATGTTATATGGTTTGGAGTGTTAGGTGGTAGAAATAAATCACCCAACACCCAAATATATAAATATAGAACTGAAAATGAGTGTTGCAGAGATAAGAAAGCTTAGGTAGACAAGTGTAGAGATAAGAGAAGATAGAATAAATAATGAGTACATAAAAGGTAACTTAGGCGTAACTATGATAGTAAACAAAACAAGAGAAAAAAGAAGAATAGGAAGACTGAATGTGATTGAGAATATGAGGACAGCCGGTGTATGTGAGGTATGCAATCTTGTCTAGTAAGAGTTTAAGACGAGAGTCAGCTGACCCCAAATAGATGAGATGAAGGCAAATAAGAAGAAGAACAATTCAAATTGTTAGTATTATAAGACCTATTTTAAAGACTTCATGTATAATAGAAGTGACATACATTGGATTTTGAAGTAGTACATTTAAAAAAATGCCTATTACTTTTTATTTGTATTATTTTCTGATAATAAATTGCCAAAACCAGTGAAAATAAATATCAACATCATTATAATATAATTAATATTTAATTATTTTTAATTTTAATATAGTTGAACATAACTTTTACCTCGTACCCTTTAATTAATTATAAATCTTTTATTTTAGATTCGGAGTGTTGTTTAGTATTAGTACCTTTGTGGGAATTTTTTCCTCAGAAAATATACTCAGTAAAAATGCCATTTTTTTCTTAGCATACTTTAAAAGATACAGATATTTCACTTCAGTAGTACTTTATTTGAAAAAAAATGTTTACATTTCAAACAGTTTTTCTATAAAATTCATAAAAACGTACAATTAATTTCAATATATTGGTTTTATTTTTATTGATTTCTTAATTTTTTTGATTCTCTTGTTTATGGTGTATAATAACACGACTAATACTATTCCACTATGAATCTTTTTTTTATTTACAATTATTTATGTTCCTTACTACCTAATTACAACAGTAGTATAAATAAGCATCTATGAGCAGTACAACTTTTTAACATTTAATTAGCATTACTAAATTAAAATAACCATAATCACCTTTAATTTATACATTTTATTTTAACCAATTTTATTATTTTTAGGTAAAATGGCTCCAGATGAATGTTTATTAAATGCATTAAGTATTAAATCTGGTACTAAAATTATGATGGTGGGTTCAAAAGAAGAAGACATAGCAGAAGCTAGTGTAGTTCCACCTAAAAGAGAAAAAGGCCGAAAATGTAAAAGTTATGAGTCGGATGATTTTGATGAGGAACGTGTTGATAAAATGGAAGTTCATTTAGCCAAAGTACAGAATAGAGTTGATAATTATGAGGTAATTTGTTTTATTTTTCATAATTACCTAATATATTTTAATAAATAAACAACTTGCATTTTATTTTCAAATAGATTAAAATGCTTAATGACCCTAGACCTGGTAAAAAACTTTTGGTACTTGATATTGATTATACTTTATTTGATCATCGATCAGCAGCTGAAAGTGGATTAGAACTTATGAGACCATATTTACATGACTTTTTAGAATCTGCTTATGAAGTAATTTGTTTTATTTTTATTGATATTTACAATATTTACATAATTTCAATTAATTACTAAATATTAATTTTATATTAATATAGCATTATGATATTGTAATTTGGTCAGCAACTGATATGCGTTGGATTGAACGTAAGATGGCTGTTTTAAATGTAGCCAATAATGTTGCATATAAAATAATATTCTACTTGGATAATGCTGCAATGATTACTGTACATACCCCTAAACATGGTGTGGTTTCTGTGAGTTACTTAATAACTTATTAATGAAATGTATGTTTGTTTATATTTTTAGTTTTAACAAATGCTTTTGTACATGTTTTGAAGGTTAAACCATTAGGAGTAATATGGGGTAAGTTTCCTGATAACTATAATAAACATAATACAATTATGTTTGATGATATTCGTCGAAATTTCTTGATGAACCCAAGAAACGGTCTCAAAATTCGTCCATTTAGAGAAGCTCATCTGAATTGGGAAATGGACAAAGAGTTACTACATCTGGCTGAATATTTGGTTGAAATAGCCAAACTTGATGATTTTACAAAGCTAAATCATAGAAATTGGGAGAAATTTATTAAGAAAGCACAATACAAAAAAGAAAAACGACATAAAAAAGATAGGACTGATAGTAGTGATCCCAAACCTGATTCTCAACCAAAATTGTAGTGTGTACCAATTGATATATGAGTGTATTGTGTATGTCTATGTGTTTCTATATTTTTTAAACTACATAAGAAAATGTATTGTACAGTTAATTTTTTTATGATACTTAAATAAAATTTAATTTGGCTAATATAATATGATACGACTTCATAATTTAACATCGTTGTTGTAATAATTGTCAATTTGATAGATAATAAATATGTATAAATATGACCTGATTTTGGTTGCCTGGCATAAAATTCTCACCTAAAATGTTTTAATGTCATAAATGAGGATATATACCTACTTTATACTATACAAGTTCATAAACCTTGTAGTTTATCAGGTGATCCATTTCATTATCTTGAAACGTATTAACTTTTTTCGATAATTTTTATTTTACAATAAAAGAAAAAAGCATCTTTAAAATTTTACATTACCATTATTTTTTTGGGGTGAAACAACAACCTATTTTTGATTTTTAAATGACAACCTATATTTAATAAAATTCCATAGTTAAAGTCCAAGACCAAATTGTTTCATATTCGTATCACGAATGGTATAAACCATAGACATATTAACTAAATAGTTAAGTTTAATAAATAAGTCTAGAATAGAGACCCACAATATCAGTGAATAGTATTTGTTTGAAAAATGACAAGAACCGTTTTTGGAAATCAAGCCCAGTCACATTTTAACATATTGCACACAGTCCACACAAAATAAAATTACATATTTTGTGTAACAAATCAAAGTTTATTTTTGATTACTTTCCTCCATTTTTGGAGCCAAAGGCTCCAAATAAAGTAATGTTATAATTAAATATAGTATGTATTATTTTGAATCATAACCCATTATAAATTGTATAGCTTATAAAATTATATATCTATACATGTGCATATGTGTATATTTCATAAACATATCTTCTAATTCTTGTTGTATTGGTGTTGCTTCACAGCAACAACTGACAAAAATTAAAAATTGTTACAATTAATTATCCATCTATGTAAGATAGTATTAACTGTAACCGATTTTAAAAAATGATAATATTTGGTTTTTATTTAAACCAGTAGATTTCAGCATATATTTGAAATTATTAAATGATTTATCAATGGCTCAGTGTGTAGAAAATTGACATGGTGATAGGAATTTCCCTATGATTTATGATTATAAATTTATGTCTATTGTATACAAAATAAATAAAATCAAATTGATATACTCAAGACCGGAATTAGGGTTGTGGGAGTCCCTGTATTTACTGCTCATATAAGGTAGAGGCCTTCACAACGGAAGAATTTTTTAGGTGGCATATATTTTAAAATTATGTTACTAATAGGTAATTCCCTCACTCAAGCTTATCACACCATTATTTTCTTATTGCATCAATTTTGCTTATTGTATATACCTACTTTAAATACTTAATACTTATCACTTTCGATACATAAAAGTTAAAACGGTTAAGTTGCATTATTGTATTTTCAATCTGTTTCATAAGTTTATGAAGTTTACAAGGTTCTTCAATTTATATCTTCCTTTTTTTAAATTTTTTGTTTTTTTCATATTTATTAGAAAAAATTGAAAAATGACCTTAAAGTACCTCCCAGTCAGATTTTCTTATAGAAAAAGTGCTATTATTGTAAATCGAAGACAAATGGCTGGTAGAAAAGTTGTAAACAAACAAAAATAGATACTTAATAACAATTAAAACATATTATTTTTAGACACAGAGCAATATTTTGACGGCAAATAAAAACTATCTTTGAACTTAGTGTAGTAATTAATACTAGCACACCCCGCACGGAATAATACTAGTTTTGAAATAAAAATAACTACGATTTACGACCCATTCACCCGACATTATTGTAGAATAATTTTAATTATAATTAAACAGGAATGGTAGAAAATTATCAATCTCAATCGAATGATTCGTTTACTCACAATTGTGAAGTAAACCAACAGAAAAATAAAATATATTTTTAGTAAATAACTAGGGAAATTAAAAAAATAAAATAAAACTTACGACACACTAAGCGGTTCAACCGCTAACGGTCGCGGTCGGGAGGTTTGAATCATAGACCTTATAAATATGTCTATGGTTTGAATAGATAAGAAACTGCTACCGTCGGTTGCTTACACACAGAACTGGTGGTAAAAACTGTTTTCTTTGATAAGACTGTAGTTCAGTATTTTATTTATTTTAGAAATTAATAGATTTTCTGTCTATTTTTTTGGTACCCATATAATTTGTATATTATATATATTATATCCATTAGTATGATATATAGTGTATTTAAGGTACATAAAAGGACAAGATTTTAAATGATGTTGAAGCCATAGCTATGGCATGTGTTGTATAAACACGTCACTAATTAAAAAAAAAATAAAGGCTATTAAAAGACGATATTAGGTATATCCAATTAATTTGAAAAAGCCTCAAGGACAATTTATTGTAAATTTGAATATTTTATGGTACTATGAGCATACCTTGAAGAGTTTATAAAATAGTTTGTTCGTAGGTACTAGTAAATATTCAAATTGCGCCAACAATAAAATAAAATATTTAATGAAATGGCATATCAATAATAAAGATAAAACCAAAAATGTAAAACGACCGGGGTCAGAATGCTACGTGTGTACGGCCCTATTGGGAATATACAGTTCATTCAGATAAAGTATATATCTTAATTGGTGTTGTTAACTAGCCATAGAATGATATAGACAGGGCGATGTCAAAGAAAAGTGAGGAGCAAAGTGAATAAATTTACAGGTTAACCAGTTAAAGACAACATAATATTGTGTAATTCATAAAATTATAATATGTATATATTATATACATAAATATTTTTTAATAATTATTAAATTTCAACAAAAAGTAGATAAAGCTCAACAATTATTGATTATCAACTATAATTATATTATATTATATTATCATTAATATAGTATTAAAGATACCTATATATTTTGGATATTTTGATCTAGATTCAATAAATCAGATATCCATATAAAATCACTCCATCCTAATTTATCTGAAAACATATCTACAAAAACAATAAATAATAACATAATAAAGTAAATAATAACAATAATAATAATAATAATACTTATATAATAGTAATAATGATTATAATAATAATAGTTATAATAACAATATTAATACCTATTTAAATTTATTTATACAATACAAGAGATAATGGAAATATATATAAAAAAAAATATCTGTATTTAACATAAAAATAACTTATTGTTCTTTAAAAATTGTTGATTTATTGTACCACATTATAGTGGAAGGCATTTCATTGTGTCTTTTAAAATTATAGTTTTTTTTTAAGTTAATATATGTTGATGTGATGGATTTTATTAAAATAGTAATATGATCGGTTAATGGGTTCCTGGTGTCGCTACTATGGATTTTTAATTGTTTGAATACATTTGAATTAAATAAAAAGAGGACTAAAACTTCAGATTGAATTTTTAATTTATTAAAAGCTTTATTTGTATAATTAAAATATTTTCATGTTTTTTTTTCAGTTTGAAAGCATAAATCAATTACACTGTTACTGGGATAAATTAAACCACCATTATCACCTTTTTATTTTTTAATGTAATTAATGAATATAAAAACATTCTCTATCAGTAGCACATAATGCATCTTTAGAGGTATCACATTTGAGCACGTTAGTAAGTTAATAAAATACGAATCCAGAAATGTAAATTATAATTTCTTTAGAGAAGTCACTAAAAGAGTAATTACTATGGCTTACTATGTAGTCGTGATTTTTAATAAATTAATTTATTCTTCTCAAATTTTCTTCTTGAATAATAGTATCATAATTAAAACTAGGAGTATTGTTATTTGAAATATTCACTAGATCAGAACTAGAGTAATGTAGAATTCTACATAGAATATGTGTATCTATAAATGTTACTGTACATTATTTTGTGCTTTTTGATAAAACGTTCATACTAGCAGGGCAGTACCTATTTATTTTATTAGAGCCTTGAGTTTTTATATGTCTGATACCTACACTTTTTTAATTATGATAACTGTTTCTATGACACTTATAATACATATAAATGTGGTCTTCATTCAAATGTTTAGCTAAGCCACAATTTTTTACATAATATGCATTTGTCTTCGGCTCAATACCATGTTTCCATATTTTAAAATCATCCAAACTTTTAAAATTAAATTTATTACTCTGCATTCTTATATATGTGTTGATGAAAAGTGATCAGACATTACTGTAGTACACAGTGCAGTAAAAGTATACATTATACAATTCACTAACGGCACAATTAATGTTTGTTTTTCAGCATGTACCACTTTTTTATGCTCATTGAAATTTCTCACACAAATCTTATATATATATATATATAATTCTTTATTTTTAAACTTTCTTGTTGGGGCAATTTCATACACATCTATAGAAGAATGTGTTTTTTTTTAAATGGGCTTTTATAGTTTTTGAAAATTTAAAATTTTTTCCACATTCAGTATAATTAACTTCTTGATTTACAGACATAGTGAAAAAATCCTAATCATAGAAAAATAATTTTAAATAAATTATGTTAATTTACCTAACATGAAGTGAAAAAAAACAACTAAACTACAACATTGTAATTATTCAACACATTTATTTAACTAAATTTTCTGTTTTTCTTTTAACAATGATATTGAAATTTATATAATAATTGAATTACAAATCGCAAAACAAATGTTTATTATTTATTGGTTAAAATTTAAATTTAAACACAATCAAATCACAGTATGAAGCAATATTACGTTAGCAATGGTTTATCGTGTAAACCATTGCTAACAGATATAAATCAAGTACCTCCAAGTATTCTACATTCCAAACTTCCCACTCATAACGGTCATACACCTTTTCACAGTATCAAATGTTTGGCTTTTTAATATTTAATTTACAAATATTTTTGTTGGTGTATAAGACTTGTATAATATAGACGGAGGTGCCTAGTTTGTTTGTAAAAAAATTATTTAATTCTAAAATACAAAAATCATAAACAGGCAACAATTATACAGGTAATATAGCAATAACTATTCACCTCAGTGTATAAATAATATCAGTTAAAAATATGTTATTATGTGATACATAATTTATTTTATTTATTTATTTATGTATAATAAACAGGTAAAGGCCGTTTTGTGAATGAAGTTGTAACGTACAGATTAATTAGGTAAAAATTATAATAATCATGAAAAAAAAATTTGACAAATACACAATAATAATAAGACAACATATAAATAATAATACTAACTATGAAAAAATTTAATAATAACAAAATAATAATAGTAAAATACTTAATTTTCAATTGTATTTAAAAACAATATGTGACATATAGAATAAGTCTACATGACCCATAATACAATTTGTTAATGTTAATGACCTAGGGAAAAAAGAAGTGGAACTATAATTATTTTCATAAAATAGAATATTAAACAAGTTTGATCTTCTTAAACCGTGGTTAGAAATATCAAATTCAATCAAAAAGCAATTCTGGGGAAAATATGTGACCATTCAACAAGTCATTAATAAACATGATATCCACATCCATTTTTCTTACTTCATAAGATATAAATCCCGATTCACTAATCCTGATATTGAAAGTGTGAATTGAGATAAACTGAAGATTCTATTTATAATATAATAATTAAAAAAATGTAAGTAAAACATTTTCAATAATAGTAATACAGTAATATATAAGACATAATTAGGTGACCACACTATTGACCTCAACTCAAGATGATTATAATTGTTCTTTTATAACAGTCAATAGATTTTGTGTTAATTATTATTTATTTTTATTTGACAAATTATTTTTAAGACTTCTTCGCAAATCAAATGTTTAATAGGTATTTGTTAGTTAAAATTCAAATTCAAGTATCATATCGACAGAGGTGTTTAGATGATTTTTAAAACAAAAACATTTAATTGTGTGTAACATTCGTATCGATCCACCGACACGCCCTTTTGCGTTCAGAAACCAGTTTGCCTCCTTTAATCTACTCCATACATTTAATTTTGACCTATTGTCACGTTTATTAAATAACAAGGTGTATAACGTTTGATTTGTTTTAATTCTTATAAAAAGGTTTCGTCAAGTTGTAGTTGTAAATATATGAACTATACTATTACTAATTACAAAAACTAATAAATTACATAAATTAAAATATATTACTTATTTTAACATAAGTTACTTAAGCTTTAAAAATATTAGAATAATGTATAATAACATTTACTATGTAATTTTCTATTCAAATTGGAGAATTATTTTCTAATGTAACCTCATCATCAATACTGAACAGTTCAGTCAGTCCACAATCAAAATGAAATTTATTTGAGCAGCTTGTAGCCATGGCTACAATTTCTTTATTATTAGTCACTTAATATAAAATGTAATATCATAATTAATGTTTATAATAACTGGGTAGTATCCTTATCTATTAATTTGGGGCCGCCAAACCATATCAATTTATGATAAAACTATAAACAGCTTAATTTACCTTAGGCAACTTGGTTGATAACTTTTTTTGGTAATTATAATGGGCGGTGCTAAATATTTTTCTGGTGAATTCCCCGGAAATTGTGGATAACGTTGTTTAACCACGGCTTGATGTGGTATTAACCACGAATTATCTCTTTTCTGTGGTATTAACAGTTAAAAATAATTAAATCTGTTTTAATTTAAATTGTTTACTTTATAATTCAAATTAATAATTATTAGAAACAAATAATTTAGTTTTTGTTATTAATTTTGTCTAAATGTCGGAACCGTCAGATTTTGAAAGTATTAATTCCGACGGAATTAGTTTTTATGATATTAATGAAACTGCAACAAATGATTCTGAATCAGCCAATCCTAAAACAAAACATTTGAGAATAAACATAAGTCATATATCTACCTCTGATTATCCTGAACAGGATCTATCTCTTACAGACAGTGATCACAGTTTGCTAGAAGCACCAAAACTATTGAATGCTTCTTCTCCTTCTAGTATTTGTTCAACAAAACCTCTAGAATGGGATAGTGGAGCTGATGTCGGGTATGATATTACTCCAATACAAAAAACTCAAGATATGAGTACTATAGAAAGAATTGCTGTAAGTAACCTTGTAAATAATGCTAATTCAACTCCAATTACTTATGATAAAAAACTTGGTTTAAAAACTAAAAGTAATTCATTAATTAATTTAAATGAAATGGAATTGAATAAAGGTAAAAAATCAGCTTCATTTCAATCTTTAAAATTCACAGCTATAAAGAGCGATACTTTACCAAAATATCGATCGCCCATGGCTTCTTCGCAATCAGTCTCCACAGTGGTGCAAAAACTAGAATCTTTGAATATAAACCAAATTAAACAATTAAGTAATAAACGTATCAATATGATTTTTGAACAATATGAAAAGAGGTTTGAAAAATCAAATATTAATTTGAATAATGAACAAAAATCACCAGAAAGTAGTAAAGAATCAGATAGTACCTTGGGAAGTGCAGACACTGGTGGATCTTGGGTGGTAAAAGAATTCCATGGTTCCATTAATACTACCACAGATCGAGTAAATAGTTTTGAATACTTACCAGGTTGTGTATATTATAATAATAGAGATGGTAAATTTGAAGACAATACAGATAAAGAAATTCTACAAAATACCAAGGTATTAGTAGAGGCAATGGAAAAAAATGGTTTAACAAATAAACTACAAAAAAAAGAAATAATTAAAGAAATTGTTGAACATTTTCTTAAAAACTATATTCCTCAAGTTAAAAATTCTTCAATAAATAGCTTATCAGATTCTGATCAAACTCCTGGAAGACAAGATTTAACATCACAAACATCAAATACTGCAAATACTATTGTCAATAATAGAACAAGTAAAATTAATAAATAATTTAGTAATACTTATTATTAGCATATATTTAGTAATTTTAAATTTTAGATAATCATTCTAGCACAATTACATTTACATCACCAATTACTTCTTCTTCGCAATATGGTAATGATGTAGATTCAAAGTATGATGAATCTTCTTTAGAATCAGGAAGGTATATAGACCTACAAAATTACAAATCAAAAAAAAATTGTACTTCAATAAATGTGAGTTGAACAAATATAAATTTGTCATTTTTCTCTAATTCAAGCAATTATATACTTTTATTTACAGCTGGGTTAAACCTTGAGTTCAACATTAGATTTTAATATTTATAATTTAAATTAGTATTTTACTCTGGTTTAAACTCTCTCATCATTTGACAAAACTAATAATTAATGACTTATACATTATTCTTTTTATAATTTTCTTAATAAATAATTGTAGGTTAGAAGAAAACGAGTAAAATATATAGATAAAAATAAACAGGAACCATAAAAACTACTTATCTATAAAATAATCTTATCTTGGTTTTAAAATAACTACAAACAATATTAAGTGGTTAACTAATAATAGATTTAAATGTTCAATCTAACCTAATTGAAATGTGTATTGAATAGCTATAACAAATTTAATAAAACATTATGATATATAATTACATTATATTAACTTTATAATTTTTTTAATTTTAACTATGAAATTACAGGAACAAAAAAATCAAAGTGTGCAGTGCAGTATTAAAGGTAATTTATCAAATATTAATAAATATGTAAAACAAACTACATTTCCTAAATCAGTTTCTTCAAAAAAAAATTATGAAAATTTGGAATCATCTACAAGTCATAATGTTAAAAGTAAGTTTGGCAATGAATTTGTGTTACTTTTTTTAATAAATAGATTTAATACAAATTCTGTTATATAGGTACATCTGAATTTAATGATATTGATAAGGAATTCAAAAAACAAATGATTTGGTTTCATACAAATTATATGAAAACAGAAAGAGAAAATCAAATGCTTTGGATCAACAATCAGATTTCTCACTTAAAAAATTTAAAAAAGTTTGTTTCTTATACACATCATTTTGAAATCTTTTATACCAAAAAAATTTTAACAGTTTTTAAAGTATAAGCAGCTTTACTGGTTTTTTTTTTATGATTTTAAAAATGTTGTTTAAAACACTGAATTCAAGTAGTTAAAAAAATGTTGACTCTTTTAAATTCCGAGCGTAGCGAGGGAACTATTGGTTTTATAATTCTGCTTATTTTTTGTTCTTGTTCTGACAGGACACATTTTTTCCTAGTAAACTTGCTCCGATTTATAAGTATAGCACCTTTTATGAAATCTCAAGTTGTCTAGATTGTACTTTTAAGAGTTAATTTTTTATTTTAAATAAAATCACTTAAGTGGGAAAAACCTAAGAAAACTTACAATTTTACAAATTTCATTATTTTATAAAAACACAGACGACGTTTTCTACCAGAAAAAATGATTAAATCAAAAAATAACGAGACACCTTTTTGATTTTCTTTCTTTTGGTGCTTTTGAATAATTTTAATTTTTGAGAGTTTGCTGTATTTCAGTTTAAAATACATGTAGATACTTGAAACTTGGTGATAATACTTATATTAGAATAGGTAAAATTTCTAAAATCATCAGACGACTTTTTTTTTAAAAAAAAAATTGAAATTAAATTTAAATGAATATCGCAAAAAAAAAATAACACTTGAAATTATGTATTTACTGAACTCTGCTTGGAATCAACTTTTGTCAGCAATGATTTATCGTGACTTATAGATATAAATGAAATAACCTTATGTATTTTACCTTCCCAACTTCCTACCTACAACAGTGGCTACACACGTCCCCAGTATCAGCTTTTTTTTATTTTGTTAGTTATAACGAATAATGAATAACATCAACAATTTTATTTTGAAAATATGTGAATGTTTAATGCTAACTATGATGATACTATCAGAATTTAAAAAATCAGAAAATCAAAAAATCAGAAAAAAAAACAAAAACTAATTACTTTAAACTGCCATAAATTAATTTAGTATTTGATTTATTTGCTTATTAATGCACAGCAATCTCATTTATTGTTTACATATGCCTGAATTATATTTATTGTAATTAGAATTAGCTATAAGTAGTTAAAAATTAAATAAAGAGCATAATTAGTAATTAAAGTAATGGAAAGAAAGGATAATTATAAACTTAATTATAATGATTTTAAATAATCTTATGTAGAATTCAAATTATATTTAATTTTAAACTTAATATACTCTGTTTACATGTTAAAATATTCATTAGTCTATTAAATACTCATGAGGAATTGAAAAAAAATTGGGATTCATACAAACAAAAACAAATTGCAAGTCGTAAACCTAAATTCAGGTTAGAAAGTTTACATTGTTTATATTATTTTTAAATACATAATTTATAATACATTATTGAAATATTCTATAGATTCTTAAAAATATAAATTATATAATAATATTTATTTTGTAGAACAATTTTACATCCAGTGTCAAATACAAGTTCAGATTTGACTTCTTTGACTAAAACAAATTCAACTATTTCTTCCAAAAATTTGTCAGTTTCTTCAAAATATAATGAAACTGATGCTGAAACTTCAACTACAATCTGTGACCATATGCATTATAAAATGGGCATTCTTGTGGATGAACCTAAATCTATGAAAAAATGTTGTGAAAAAACTCTTCACATTATGAAACAGAAACAAAACCAAACTGTTAATAAACTAAAATCCGCTTACTCTCAAACTGAATCAAACAATGAAATACATTTCAAAAGTAATACAAAGGATTCAGCTTGGAATGAAATTAATTATACAATAGATGATCAATTAAAACCATTCAGCTGTAAAAGTTCTATAAGTTACGATATAATATTTAAACCATCAAAATCTTCAAAGGAAATACATTCTGTATGTTTTAGTTATTGATGTGTATTACTTGATTAAATTTATACAGCAACATATAATTTATGAATTTTTTTTTAGTTTGATGATAAATCAAAACAAAAGCATTTTGTATCCGTATCCTGCCAGACCAACGATCCACCATCCAAGCTGAGATCAAGTTTACAGGTATTATTAAAAAAAAAGCAATTTAATTTCATCTTATGTTTGACTGCAAATTTGTGTTCACGTGACACTTTTGTGTTAGTTTAATATCCAAGTGAATTATGAAATTTTATGATAAGAACATTATTTATGCAATTTTGATGATATTTTAAATAGAAATATCATAATTTTATAATAGGTTAATTTACTCTAATATTAAAACTATCAGCACAAAGCTGTTCCATGTGACTGCAAATTTTCTATGTTGATCATTGGTAAGACTAAGACAGCACATGCAAGTATAAAGTTCTCTTAATAAGACGTTATACCCGCATCTACTATAATTATCTATTATAAAATATACAAAAACAATTTTTTTTTTTAAATAACTAACTTTTAATATTTCATAATTTAAGAAACACCTCTAGATTCCCTCCAAAATATTGTTCTCTATAAGTTGTATAATAGGTAATTTTACTCTAAAATCAAATTAAGCTAGTTTTACTTATTTTGCGCGTAAGCATTGTTTTCGTATGTTACCCAGTAGTTGGACTGAGACAGTAAACTGAATATTTTCATAATATTATAATCATTTATAGTGAATCACTAATATTTTAATATCAAAGCTTAAAAACAATGTTAATTATATAATTATTGTTTATGAAATAATTTATTTTGTTGTAGGAAGTATTTATGATTTGTATAAATATTGTTTGTTTAGTTTATATCTATTGGTAACCTAAACTTAAATTTTTCAATTTTTAGGAATATTTAATGAAAAATCGCCCTGATTATATTTGCAGAGCAGAAGAAAGACAAACTATATTAACTAATATAGCAAGTTTAAGAGACAAACGTACAAAATTAAAAAGAGATATGTTAATAGCAAATCATAATAGAACTAAGGTTCCACCTAATCCTTTAGGTAATTTTTATTCAACTACAGATGGTTATGTGTTAACTATTTTGTACATAATTATTAATTTTTACATTTGTTTTAAGCTATTAAACGCGTAATGAGCCAAAAAGAAATGAGAAAACTAACTGAAAGTAAATATCACAAGTGTCCTGAAGTTAAAAATAAAAAAGTAGAAAAAAAACGGAAAGAAGAATATAAAACTAATAAAATTATGGCACACATATTTAACAAGGTATTTTGAAATATATTTAAAAAATAATGAATTTATATTAATAATAAAATTCTATAATATATATTACAGAAACTTCAAAAAAAAACACTTAAAGGAAATGTTGATTTATCCAATAGTGTTAGTGTTTGCAGTTTATAAATATAAGTTATATTTTTATATTTTTCCGATTCCATATTTCTGTTTTAATTCTAGAGTTAATACTTAGTTTAGATACACACATAAATAAATATAATCAATTTTTTAGTATGCCTACTGTTTTTTTAATTGACATTATTTGTATAAGTACCTATTTATTTATTTTTCATATTTATAAATGATACTAATTAATAGGTTCCATGATTGATTGAATAAAAGACTCAACTAAGAATTGAAAACCTTATTAAGTATAATTATTTGTAATCAATTTATATTTTCTTACTTAATATAGTTGTTGGATCAGTGTTGGTACTTATGTATTTTATTTTTGTTACTTTGTAAAAATTTCACAAAAAAAAGTAAATAATATTTTGAAAATGATAAAAAAACTAATAGATTTATTTCAAAATTATTTTGTAAAATAAATAAATAATAATACAATAATGGCCAGTTTTACAGTATATCGTAAAGGCAATTTTGTCTTTGACATTTTCTGATAAAAATGATACCATTTGGCACAATAAATGTCTATAAGTAAAATTTATTTTTGCTATGTTATCTGGTTTAATAGTATTAAGAATACATTGTTTTAGATCATCTAAATCAATATACATTGAATTGGACTCAAACTCTTGTGAAATAAATTATAATATGATTATTAAATCATTTTTCAAATGTATAGAGTATTAATTACTATTTAGTATATAGAAATTTATTTTCATTAGTTATATTATCATTCATGATATTATTGTCAATATTTTCCATAATAAGTGCAGAAATTGCATCTTCACATATAACTAAATAAAGTATAGAATATAAGCTTAAGTTTATAGTTTTTCATACCTACTGTAAATTAGTAGAAGGTATATCTTTGTTTCAAAACATATAAATCGAAGTTTGATTTGTTTCATTGTTTAATTTTATTAGCAATTCATTTTTATACCACTCAGAAATCATAAAAAAATTTGCAGAAGTTCAATCTCTTAAATTAAATATATTATAAATAAGGGTGGGCCAATACCACTTTTTACTGATATTCGATATCCGACATTTGAAATTAAAAATCATTAATTGATATTAAAAGTATGTGTTGAATATCCAGTTCTTTTTATGCTTTTTTCATATTTCAAACAGAGCAGGATTAAGTCCAGAGTCGAGGCTCCAGGTCCTGAAATATTAAAGACCTGAAGGGCGTCTTTGTCTCAGAATAAACTGCAATTTATAATATTTTATGTTTATTATTTACTGAAAATTTGCAATACTTTAAATAGGTACTGCACGGTTCAAAACAAGAAATTATTTATACAGATGAAATAGTTGATATCCATTTCTTGTAAAAGATTAGTATCTTTAATATTTAAATCAAAATAATTCAAAAACATTTTGTTCTAATTTTGATTACATAGGTACTTCAAAATTAAAAAAAAAAAATCATTAGTTTGCATCAAAACATATACCTAGGTTCTTTTTGAACAAGCAATGATGACGTCATCATACTCCTTAAATTTACTTAATAACATTTAATATTGTGAAAAGCCTAAGTATGCAGAAATATCGTTGTTTGCTGCACTTAAAAATTCAAAAAAAAAAAACCGAATTTAAAATTATTCATAATTCAACCATGCAAATGGAGTGAGCATGCTTAAAAAATCACTCTGTATATTATTTAACATTATCTTCATAAGTATAAACAATTATGTGAATAATAATAGTTCTTAAAAATTATCATAGCCACGGAAAAAAAAGAAAATCTGTATACTTTGTAATTTTAATTAATTTTTTCCCGACCTACCATTTATTTTCACACCAGAAAAATTATTGAAGTTAAAAAGAAATTGAATAAAGTTTTTAGTAAAATTAAAAAATAAATACATACACAATCAATATTAAAAAATTGTTCTATTAGGCATCAGTAAACAATAATAATAATACATTCATTGCTATTATAAAAGTATGAAATGCTATTGCTATTATTATAAAATTAATAACACTTAACGTAACTAATTTTAATATAATAAATAAATTGGCTTATTTTTCCGTGAATTTTTTTTCCTATATTCATCTAGGAGTAGACCTCAAGAGAAAAACCGTAAATGTTGACTCATTTAACATTACAAAAACTTGTTTCAATATACTTCAAACATTACAAAAATTTGAAGTATATTGAAATATATTTAATGTTCATATGAAAAAAAAAGATGTTATAGTCATATAGCTCATAGGGTAACCCATCCATATCATGATCACCTAAATTGACTTTTACCAAAGAGTGCATCGAACACAATAATGTGAGGAGAACATCTCTCAAATAATAGCTCTGCCAGATAGACTATAGTCTTTCTTAAATCGTAATATAGACACAGCGTATTACTGTAGGTATTGTTATTTGTTATCAGCATAAACAAAATTTTTTGATTTTCATTACGACAGGAACTAATACATATCTACACTTTTATTTATTTTAGTTCATTTGAGTTTTTATAAATCGTAAAACATTTGTTACACCTGCATAACTTATGAAATAGACTTTTAAAATATATTCCAGTAATTAAATAAAAGTAATGCCATCAAACTGTTTTTAGTTTTTACATTTTTCATACATGGTGTTAGTAATATGGAATACTTGTATGCATCTATAAATGTGGTGTAGTATTCCTAGTATTTTTTCTAATTTTATTTTAGTTATGTTGAAAAATTATGAACTTGATTTCTAATACAATTGTTAAAAATATTAAATTAATAATATTAAAAAAGTACCTACCTGGTAGGACTGAAATATTTTAATTTTGTTTATGTTATTTATTATGTTATATTAATAGGAAATACCATATTCTATATTTCCAATACATATTCTAAAACTGTAAAAATAAACATTTGCAAAATATGATTATTTTATTGAAATTTGTTAATCGTTATGTTCAGATATAGATACCTATAAAAACTAATTCCATAATAATTTTACTTTAATATGACATAGATGGTATTTGATTTGTATGATAATTGTAAACTCAAAAGAGAAAAATTAAATGGTATTCCATATTCAGAGCATCTCTTCCACAAAAAAGATAGGTAGCCATTTCGGAAATATTGCTGCATGATTAAGAGACCGTTATACCCACATTTACTGCCTGAGTCCATCTACATACAAAAACAATGCTTACGCAGAATAAGTAAAACTAGCTTAATTTTGATTTTAGAGTAAAAGTACCTATTATAAAATATATAGAGAACAATATTTCCAAGGGAATGTAGTAGGTATTTTTTAAATTATGAACTATTAAAAAAGTTATTTATTTAAAAAACAACAAAATAAAGGTTTTGTATCTTTCATATCGAGCTGCATATTTTGAATAATACATAACTCCCCCGACATTCCCTGCAAAATATTGTTCTCTATATATTTTATAATAGGTACTTTTACTCTAAAATCAAAATTAAGCTAGTTTTATTTATTCTGCGTAAGCATTGGTTTTCCATGTTACCCTATTGGACTAAGACAGTAGATGAAGATATAATGTCTTCTTAATGATTTAGCTTTCATACCACTGAATAAAGTATTGGACGGAATGACATATCAAAAATAAAATATAATGGCACAAGATATAAATATTACCTAAATGCGTTCTACCTTGCATTTTTGAAAAATTTCACCTATATTTTCAACTTTTTCATAGAATGTTCACATAACCACTTTAGTAGAGGGCAATCAAACAAATAATGTAACGGAAGGAGTAATCGATTTGGAAAACTTTATGGACATCGAATCCAACTATTTAGAAACTTATAAAAAAAAATAAAATTTTAATTTTGACAGATAAATCAAAATTAGTTTTAGTTGCTGTAGGAGACTCAAGTAGTAGAAGAAAACAGGACAAACTCGTAGCGTAGAAAAACATTTACAAAATTATGTATACAAATAATACAACCGGGTAAAACCGGTGTGTTAGATTTTATTAACATCTGTAAGTCGTAACATTAAGTATGATTAAAATTTTATATTGTAAATTGTATTATTATAATAATTATATGAGTACTATTTTATTTATTTTTTAATTAATTGGCTTTTTCTTGGGTGGGACCTTTTTTATCAGGATTTTTTTCCACGATTAACTATTTTAAAATAATAATAATTATACATACAACTTGATTTCCATAATTGTATAACAATGTATAAACCGAAATTATGAACAATTTACAGGACAAACTCTCATAACATTTTGAATTGCACAATATTCTATTTTTCTTACATAAACTACAATTCGTTCTGCAAGATTTCTTACATGTGTATCTTACAAAGCCTTACAAACCTTGTCGAGACAAACACGTAGATATAACGACAACAACGAAGATAACGAACTGACAAAACTGAAAACACGGGGACAAAAGCTACTAAGCCGAATTATTATCTATTAGATATAATCTGTCAAAGTTATTGTATCTAAAAATAATTTGATAGACAACTGGTTAAAGTTATCCTAATTGTTTTGATAGCCGGTCAGTCAAATTTATACAGCAATATTTAGAAATCACCAGTGATTGCGTGCGTTTTAGATAGTACAGGTTGGAATACATGCATTCCAATAAAAATTAGTTATGACTGACTTATTTAAATCTATAGTTAAAACTAGTTTTAACTGTAACATATATATGTTAGCAACGATAAACCATTGCTTAAGAAAAACGATTCTGAGCGCAGTTCAGTTGATAGTGATGCTTTGTCAACAATATATATGTCATAGTATGGGAAATTAATTAAATAGGCATTACATATTTTCTTTAATAATATTTGTTTAATATTTAACTGATTTTCCCGTTTTCCTGAATTTTTTCTGGTTTTTCACATTTGCTGGGAAAACTCTTGGGAAAATGGAAAAATAAAAAGGAAATTAAATTTCCTTTCAGAAAACGTGGTATCAATGTAAATCAAAGCATAATTTTTGGTAGAAAAGTTGTACACAGAAACAAAAGGCAATCATATTTTTTACTAATTCCTACATTTCGTA